AGCAAAATATACTTACTCTCAGGTGGAATAATTTTGACAGGGGGTAGCAATGACCGGGGCTGGGCCAAGCTCCTGGGCGGCTCTTGGCCTAGCCCAGCCATAATCCCCTACAAGGCCGGACCTAGCCTGGCCTAGTCCTGACAACGTCGTAGAGGCCTTGGCCCAAGCACAGCCCTGGCCCTATCACTAGGGGTGGCAACAGGTCGGTTAGATCCGGACTCGAATAGTATTCAAGTATAGGTTTTGGATCCTGACCCATACCTATACCCGCCGGGTCCCGGGTCTGGTCGGGTCCATTGACACCCTCACTATAAGCAGCTTTTTTTATCTATCCTTTTTTTACTATCATATACCGATATTATTGGCAACAACGTCACAATCGCCCGCCACTAGATTTCAAACGGTTTAATTTGTCTTTTAATAGCTAAAGATGACTATGAGTTCTTATTGTATACAATCCTTGATACACCCAAACAAATAGGACTTAAAGCATTTTAATTCCAACATGTTACGGGTATGGGATTGGTCCAATCGGACCCCGACTAGGATATGGATCTGAATAGTATTTGGGTCCAGGTTTTGAACCCCGACCTGACCCGCTATGTTGGACCCATGCCGGACCTGTGTTGGGTATACCCGACGAGTCCCGCTTCACGTCCGGCCTTTGCCACCCCTACCTATCATTTGTCAGGCTAAATACAATAAAAATAACAATAACAAAAAAAAGCACCAATATGGGCCGATCCTGTTGTGGACCTAGCCCAACCCTTTCCATGGGCTATAGTGGCCCGGCCCTTAGGCCATTGTTTTCAAGGGCAGGTCGGGCCAACTGCCCTAATTTTGGCCCATTTTTTGGCACGCAGTCCACTCAACTTAGCGTCCAATCATAAAGAAAAAAACGTTTTGAAATCACATTTTGAAAGAATAATATCCTAAGATCCATGTAAATTATGCATAAATAAATTGCCCATTAGATTTAGGTGTTTAAGGAATCGTTTTTAAGAGGAATTATTAATAGTGTTCATTAAGTGATCTCAAGCATCTGATCAACCAATTCCTTTTGAGCGTTTGTTTTGCCTAAAGGAGTAACATGAACCCTTCGATTAATTAAAAATGGAAAAAGACTATATATTGCTATCAATATCATAAAAGAATAGGGCAATGATTTTATGCAACGATTGTATAGTAATATAATGCAACAACCTTCAAAAACTATGTTAGGGCCATGTGCTGCCAATAGCAAGAACTTGCTCAAGGGAATTTTTGGGAACTTGTAAATATGAGGAGAATAATCTTAATAAAGGTTTTTGCTATCAATATCATAAAAGAGTAAGACAGTGATTTAATGCAACGATTGTATAGTAATATGATGCAAGGACCTTTAAAAACTATGTTAAGGCCATGTGCTGCCAATAGCAAGAACTTTCTTAAGGGGATTTTTGGGAACTTGTAAATGTGCATAGAATAATCTTAATAAAGGTTTTTGTTATGTTATTTCTTTTTATGGAGTATTCATTTAATTTACTTATTATTTATATGACAATCATTACCTTTACTTCGTCATACAAAACATTTTTCGAGTAAGAGCATTTTTATCATCAAGAAAGTAGAATAGATATTTTTATAAAATAGATAGCATTTTATTAATTATTAAGAAGTAATCAAGAAAGTAGAATAGATATTTTTATAAAATAGATAGCATTTTATTAATTATTAAGAAGTAATCAAGAAAGTAGAATAGATATTTTTATAAAATAGATAGCATTTTATTAATTATTAAGAAGTAATTAATGCCCCTTGTTAACATCAAGAGGGGTAGAATGGATAATATCTCATTTGATAACATTTCCCAATCATAATTAATAAATCCCTTTCTTAACTATAGAAAAAGTTATTGTTATCAAGTAACAAAAAAATGTTTAGTATATTAAGGAAATACTTTGTGAAACTAAGTAGCCTAACAAAAGCTATAAATAAAAAGCACCTCCGTAATGGTCGAATTGATGCCCACTTCATCAATGAACATAGATCGTCGATTGGATGCTTAAATCTAACTTTTTAAGAATTCCAAAATACATTTTAAAAAGTATATTTTTTTTTAGGCAAATCAAAGGTGTCACAAAATTTTAGGGGTAGAAAAAGGGAAAACATCACTTAAATAATAGAAATACTTATAAAATCATTAAGGTAGTTCAAACATCCCATTTAATACTAAAAAAATTAATATTTAAGCTTCATTTCACTCATGTACCTTCTAAAAAAATGTTAAAAAAAAAACCAAATTACCTGCATAAACCCCCTCTAGTCTCTTTCAAAACGTAACGTAGATCCTAGAGAAGATGCTTAGGTTAGAGAAACCTAAACTGGAGAACTAGATCTTTTCTAACTTTTGGTCCTTCAAACCCTAGAAACCCTAGGTCAAACATTCAATTCCTTGTAGCCATAGAATCCTAAACTCCAAATCTTTAAGAAATACATGCCCTAAGAAAAACTTAAATCAAAAGTTTTAGGATAAGCATGCCCTACGCAAATCAAAGCTCTAGAAAGAATATGCATGAGGTACTTCTCAAATTCAAACAAATCTCTTGGGTTGAGGATGAAGACACTCCAATTTCTAGTCTAATCTGGGCTAGAGGGACTGGTTGTCAAGTGAGTAATTCTTTTCTTTTTTTTTCTTTAATTTTCAATTTCTTTACTTTTTTTGTATTTCTTTTCAGTTTTTTATGGTCTCTTTATGGTTTTCACACGATTTCAAACCGACTCTACCGAGGGTGTATGAGGAGAAGTTTTGCACTTGTAAGTCTATCTTCTCATATATTATGGAACCCACTCTTTTCTATCGAGTTTTAATTGATTAAGTTGAAAGTCTAAAAGAAAGAGGATTTCTCCCCAAGATCTTTCTGGATTTGATTGTAAACAGGCTGTAATACCCCTTGTTGTTCAGGTTTAACAACAAAGAACTGCCAAATTAATGTGTTCAAAGTTTGCAACATAGAACTCATTTTTCTCTTCCATGTTGTTAACCTTGAACAAGTAGGAATATTTTTCTCATTTGGCTCGGGCCACTCAAGTGGTTAAAATTATAAAAATACACATACTTATTCACAGTTCCCTGTCATGAATATGAGTGATTTTTAATCATTTGTGAAAAATAGTTTTTAAGGTGGTATCTAGGTCAAATGAAACTTAGAAAATAACCATCTTAATGTTAAATGGATGAGAGGACCAGTTGATCAAACACTTTTGTTGTCTCAACCTTTTTGTTGTCCAAACTATAACATTTATTGCTTTATTTTTATAATGAACCCCCTCATCTAAACCCTAGAAAAACAACCGCTTTCTCGCTCTTCCTCTCTTGTGAATTCCTTCATCCATCTCTGTCTCTCGCGACCTTGAATCCTAATCTTTGTCTATCTCTCTTTTCTCCTAATGGGATTGTCTACAAAAAGATCATTTATCTTTTGTACATTGAAGTTATAATTATTATTGTCCATTAAATTTCAAAATGGGTAGTTGTAAGAGTATCATTGAATAAATACAAAATTTCAAAAAAATTCTCTAACTTTGTGACTCACCCCAATCCATCCAATTTAACAGGTGTTCAAGTCTTTCTTGTTTAACTTGAACAAGCGCCATGAGCTTTCCATAGACCCTAAGTTTATTTAGGATTACAAAAATTTGGAAGGAGTATACACTTTTTTTGCCCATCATATATTGATGTGCGCTTACCTCATATAGAGCCTTTATTTTCCAGACAAATTCCAACAGCTCTTGTTTTCAAAGGTAACTTAAAAACCCCAAAATGCATACATATACGGACAGTACTCAGTAATCCAAGGGACTATAAAAAGACCATGGACCATTGAATAGTCAAGTCGCCACCGTTCATGAAAACGATAAACAATGATGAAGAGATAACGGGACCTGCATGAAAATGTTGACAACCAAGGCACCATAGATTATGGAATATGTTCCCATATACCATACTATTGAGTTGTAGTCTTCAAAATTGCGAGCTGTTTCAAAAAGGTTTATTTCCTGGTCCAGTACAGATTATCGTTAAGATTTCTTCAATGACCAACATTTTAATACCTTACTGAATAAATTGCAACCCCCCAATTTCAGGAGCTCTAGAAAATTATTTATGACTTAAAATAAATTACGTTAGTTGATAATGCATAATTCGTCCCATTTTGCACACGAGCTCCAATATGTTTTCTTTCATTATCATTATTAGTTCTCAACTAGTCAGGGTCAGCTACGTCAATCCCAATATGTCATTCTGCTCTATCAATGATCATACCCTCAGTAACCCACATATTTTCTCACTACTTCCAACCATGTCTTTTAGAATCTACCCTTTGCCTTTTTTGAATTTTCCACTTGAACCAACTCGCACCTCCTGACATGTGTTGTACTACATATGTGCTGCACATAGCCAACCTACATAATAATCTTATCACCTATTGGAGTCATTCCTAAATTCTCTTTAATGTATTCATTTCAAAATCTATCCCTTCTTGTCTTGCCGGTCATCTATCCCAACGTCTTCATCTCAACTACATTCATCCTATGGGTATGTTGTTTCTTGACCACTCAATATCAGCCCTATAAAACAAGGCTAGTCTCACAATTGTCCTATAGAACATCTCCTTATAGAACTTCTCTTTCATGTTCATTGGCATTCAAAGTTTGTTTTCTTTCAAACCATAAATTCAAAGTATTGCACAATTCAAGCAATGGCAATCAAAGCACCCTAATCCAAAAACCGAGTTTTCTCACACATTAAATTTTGGTAAAATCACTTAAAATTTTCCTTTACATATAATCATTAAAAATTTAAAACCAAAGCGTGGTAAATTCCAAAACAGTACCTGGATGCCGTTATAAATAGTGCAAAGTGAGTCCCAAAACAGGGTCTAGACTTCTTACCAATGCAATATTGTCCTTCCCAGTACTCAAATACCAAATAAGCACGGTTATTTTTGTACAATGCATTAATAAATAAATAAATAATATTTATGTATAAAACCAGAAAAGTTTTGAGCCTGTCAACTCATTCGGCGGCCAGCGTTTTCAAAGGTTTTAGAACCCAAAATACATTCCAAATCACTTTCCACAACAAATTCACGAATTTAGAGCTCCAAAAATAATATAGTTTTGAGGATCTTTGAAGAATTGAAATGTACAGTCCACAAACATGGCCAGATAATATGCACAGATACCCTAAAAAGGTTTCATTCATCTCTCTCACTTACAAATCCCAAGATAGCTTTCTTCTTGTCCTGTTAACTACAGCAGGGTGAGAAATCACGAAAATCCAAGGGCAAATGTATATATATTGCTAGAAGTAGCCACCACTGCCGCATCAAACGACGGCTCTTCACTTTCATCTGTATTTCTCTTCAAACTTGAAAGAGCAACCTGACAATAACAACATATCCTAAAGTCTAAATATCACTAAGTGAAAGATGGTGGCAATTGCTGCTACTATATTGAAATATGAGAAAAGAGTTTATGCTCTTGAGCAAAATGTACATTTGCTCCCTATGGTAAAAGCCTAGTTGGGACTATTTAAGATCCCAAAATTTGGACCTACTCAAACATTGCAATTGAATTCTAAAAGAAAAGAAACAAGCAACCAACTTAAACAATGTAAAATGTGGAAAACAAATTTTCCTCACCTGTAAGGCTTAACCAAATGGGCTCTACCTATGGAGATTTGGAATCACCTTGAGTTGATTTGAAAATGCGAAATGCAGCTATGCACATCGTCGTGTTTCCTATAACTGTTAGAGCAGCTTGTAGAGCCACCAGTACCTACACATATCATAAAGGCATCAATGGCTTGTATCTCAAAGCTTTTGGGAAAGGTTATTTTGAATTTCAAAAGGGCAACATAAATCATGCAGGTGTCCAGAAGGTTGGAATCTCACAGCCATGCTTGAACAATATTTTGCATGGTTTGGTACTTAATAAACCAAACAATTTTATCAGAATGTATGAAATGAATCAACTTAAAATAGTTATTTCGAGAAAATGAACCAGTACAGGCAATATTTTGAAAAGTTAAGTCTCTCAAGCATATGCATGTCTTATGAGGTGATCCAGGCACAGTTTTTCCAAAAGAGCTCAAAAGGGCAAACCGAACCATAACGTAAGATGTAAACAGCGTGATGTGTTATATTTGATGAGGAATAACATCATGGCACAAGAAAAAAAGCAGGACAAACAAAAATCAGCTACACTGGAAAAAATTTCGTAACGAAGTCATCAGTTTTCTTACCCTAGCATACCTTGTCCTATTTAACTAAAATGCAATTTGTGTCCCTCATTGATATTTTTCCATAAGAAATCACAGTGGGTTGCATAATTCTACAGCCACTGCAATATGAATTTTAGCAAGAAATATAAAATTCACAAGGATTAGTCATTTGTTAATGTTAAGACTGAGAGAGAATAAAGAAAGAAATTTCCAAGCATATGGTTGGGCAAAATATAGATGTCTTTCAACTTGTATCAATCATGGGGCAATTAGCCCTACAAATATGCATGTATTCTTATAGGAGATACCATACAAGTCAAGGTTGCAACTCTCATATATATAGGTTGCCGTAGGAAAATCATATAATATAGTCAGATATACAAATTTAACACAGATAAGGGTTTATGCTTGGTCAATGTGCCTTGCCACCACATGGAGATTTCCATAATTGCCATGAGGCAATAGGTACTGTAGGTTTCCCTAATAGGCAAGAGGCCCATAATAATTACTGCAGGTTTCAAGCTAGGAAATTTAGTCACAGTGATAATTAGATTAAGATACGACCATTTTAAAGAACATAGGTGACCAAAAGCAGTGCAGCCCGAAGTAACATCAATGACAAACAATAATTTTTCTGCCATTATGCTTGCCTCAAAGTCTAAGCCATGTGAATCTATACATGCTTTAAAGCTTAAACTAAACTCCAGGTATTTTTATTGAATCTCACGACCCATTTTCTTCACAATAATGGGAGGGGAAATTTGTCAAAATACACCTAAAGCATTAACTTATTTTATATTTTGACCATATGTTTTGATTTAATTTCAAATGCCCATAAAAAAACTCAGGATTTTGAGCTGGAATAGTAGAAAAAGTGTAAAATGTTAAAATAGTTAAAAAGTGAGGTGTATTTTGATAAATTTCCTTAATGGAAATAACATCAATGTTACATCCAAGTGATCTTAAATGTTATTACACTAAATAATAGAAAGGCGCATTGTTAAGACATGAGACAATGCTATTACAATTTCTTACTTTATGCAGTTATATGAGAACCACTATTTTAACATGAATTATTTACTAATACAGAGGGGTTTCACTGCCCAGGATTGCAGGTACTATTTGTTGGATAGGTATTACTAATATCAACGTGACTATCGAACGAATTCAACTATTTTCTACAATGTCAAAATTGACATTTCTGTCAATATTGAGAAATTAATACTAAAATTGAAGCAGGCATAACAAATGTAATATAGAAAACAACTGTGCTTTCATTACCACTATAGCAGACGATGACCAAGTGGTTGACTAAATCACAAAAAATAAACCTCCCCAAATGTCATCACCAATTCTAAAAATCCAAATGAGAATCACAAACACAAACAACACTGCTGATACTCACATCAAGTGACTCAGAATTGTAGAAGAAATGCCATGTGCAGGCACAAAATGCTCCACCAAGCAAGGGCACCTAATAAGTTCAATCATGCGGTGAGTAAAGATAGCGTTACCTGAACAAGAAATAAGAAGCTTACATTCACGTGAAGATGACGTACACACTCCAAATATCCCTTCCATCTGTTCCTGGACTCCTTGATTATTTATAAAAGAAAATCCAGCAACAATGCAAATACCACACTTTTTTTTTCAATATATATCGGCCTCAAAATGAAATAGGGAGCTTGGACGTAACCAAAAAAATTGGAGAATAAAGGGGGTAAAAATCAATGTTTAAACTTTAAAGCATTGATCTGCAACCATTGAAGCAAAATGCAGAATACATTGGAGATTCAGAAGTAATAAATACACTTAAATTTTCTACAAGGTGAAAGCCAACATATCTGGCCAGCATTCTCAGACAGCACTTTCTGATAGGAACGTGACGAAACAGAAAACAGTAGACCACATTGTCGTTATAGATCACTTAGTAGAAAAAATGGAAAAAAAAAAAAAATCCACGATATGATGACAACTATAACATGTGATATCTACATGCACATGCTTAAGATAGACACAGACAGGAAACTTATATGAGAATTAGAAAATGTATTGAGAAGTTTAAAAAGATTATATCAAATACTGTTGTATGTTATCATCCTGAGAAAAGAGAGAGCAAGAATCCTAGGGTACAGTCCTGTGGTACTTAGAATTTGTGCTATTCGTTTTTTTTTTTTTTTTTCTCTTTAAGCAAAAGAAAACTGCCCTGTCATGAAGAGGATGGTTCTCTGTATGAATCTCACATGTAGCATGGTATAATTTCCAATTTTCTCCAATTAGTTATTAAATGTAATGATTTTCAGCTTTATTAAATGCAAGAATTTTTAGTCTTGAGCCGAAGAATCCATCATACCCAAGCATGAAAGTTTTCCCAGAATTTCCAGGTCACATTTTAATGAGTATATGTTCTTTTGATGGAAAAAATACATTGTAATTTTCAAATGCCAATTAACCAAGAAAAATGAACTTCATGCATCCTCTTCGATAATGCAGATAAACAACAATTACATTTTCAAAGGGTGAATGAGAGAATTATAATCTGCATATTATCCGACTTCTCAAGCTAGATTCTTTTAATTTCATACTAACCTCTAATACCTTTCCAAAATTCAAATCCTGTTACAGATCACTATCTAAAATTCTAGAGTAAAGGGAAAAATATATAACCAGAAAATGATGAAATCAGCTTAGAGAGTGAGTGAAACGCCTTACCATGGCCCAGGAAAGCCCCTTCCAAGTTTCATATCCAGGCTTCTCTCCATATTGCCAAACCAAAATCATGGCAGAAACCCTGTAAATACAAACCAGAATTTGCGTCATTAATCATGAGAGAGAGAGAGTACAGGCCAAATATGAAGTGGAGATGACAAGAAACATTATCAGAGGAGAGAGATGGAGAGACACCACAAATTAGTAGAGAGAGAAACCAGCAAGTAGTAAAGAACAAAACAAAAATGGAGGTAAAAAAGCTAGAGAGAGAAAGTTGAAATGGAAGTTTAACACGACCATTCAGCAACACTGGAGACATGGATAGCCCATGTTGGTAGAGAGAGAGCATTCTTAGGTTCTTGCGAGAGGATAGATTCGATAACAGGGAATTCAGCAGGGGAGGCCTTCTCTGCAAAAATTAGGACAATAGATGCAGCTCCCAAAATAACAGCCCCACGATTCTTCTCAGAAAAAGGCCTTCGAAGAAGAACTCTTCTCCTAAGAGTATTGAAAGCAAGCATTCGACTGTGAAATGGTCTTACAGTTGTGGCATTAAGGAGTGAGAAGCAGGCCGCCATGGCAGTCCAGGCAATTCCACTTACTCTGGATTTGAAAACTTGTCTTCCTCCTGTGTCCTCAAGATAAATTCTGAGATGGTTTGGTACGGCTGCAGCCCTATCAAAGTAAGTAAAGCCTCACCTCGATTACAATTCAAGCATCGGAAAATCTTTACATCGTTGACTTGAACATTGTGGTTGTAAAAATAATAATTAGGATTTTAAACTTCAAAAATTAGTATATATTGTAGGCTCTCTATTTTATCCTAAAAATAAGTGCTCATATATACACAAGATGTGTATTATTATTTTATTTATATATTTTATTATTCGAATTTTTAATATTTTATTATTCGAATTGAAAATTAATTTTAAAACCATGATAAATATTTTTTTTTTTTACTGAAAATGCTTTGAAGATTTGAGGAGAGGTTTTATTTGATTTCATAAAACCTAGGCCATACAGAAACCTAAAGAACATGAGGTGTGTATACGGTACATCATCTAAATTTTGTTTGCATGTGCGTCTCTAAAATTTTGTTGTTGGGAGGTATAGCTCTGTCATTAAAAACCTCATGATGGCTTGAATTTAGATTTTCAAAAATAGTGCCAATCGAGTTGGATTGTAAGCATTACAAATTTTAAAAATGACGATCAAGGTAATTGCAAGATGTATTATTTTTAGGACTTGAAATTTTTTTTCATATATATATCGAGACAAAGATGATCAATTAGAAGGTTTTCTAACTTCAGAATATTATTTTTTATTAGGTTTTTTTAAAGTACGCTTACTATAGTACATAGTTGCAGTCTTAAATAAAATATTTCTCTTATAAATGACTGGTATGCCTCGAATTTTCCACCTAATTTAATAAGAGATTGTATAAGTATATTTGGTATAAGAAGGTCACAATTATTACTTCTAGCAATTAGATGTGAAATCCAATGAACAAAAGTGTGTCACAACATTCAAGAAATTTTGTTTTAAACCTTTTGCCTAAACAATGATACATCCTAAACGACTCTATTTCAAATCTAGCAGTCAACGATGATTGTGACCTCTTTGTATCAAAAACAAACAGGCTCATCTTATCCATTTCCATTTAGTAAAGTGCTACGCATGTTACACTGTTAGTAGGGAAGTAGAGTAATGTATGTATCGGGGGATGCATGACTACATTTGTATCCCACATCTACATCCATCTTAAAGATCAATGTGGAGTTATAGTCTCTCTCAAAAAAAGAGGCAAAATCAACTATTTGATTTTATAAAAAAAAAACATATTATTTTACTTTTAAATTTTTTTTATTTTCTACACATTTATGTTAGCCATGTTAGGAATTATATATACTTAAAATTAGGACCAAAATCTATCTCAAATTTGCATTATGAAGAGGGGTAGCATATTTACATATGAGTTCTATGACTCATAAAACTACATCCTTGTAGGAATATTGACATGAGTATGTGTTTACGAGTATGGATACAAAAACACGTATTACAATTTATAAATAAAATATTTTTATTTTGATATATATATTATATAAGTATTAAAATAATTAAAATTATGTCAGGATACTCACACCAGTTATTTATTATTGTACTCAATAATATTTAAACATTTATATACCATTGTTTTGTACATGATTTTTTTTTTTAATAACGATATTTTTTGTCAATATAAAAGATGTGACATCCTCTACATAAGCCTGACATCACCTACATAGAGCACACTCCTAAATGGCGTTGTATTAAATTCACATTACATATAGCGAACCCACTTAAATCTCTTTTTCCTCATCTCATCGCCTATTGAAATTACATCTAAATTCCATCAAATATATTCATTTAAAATTTTATCCTTTCTTGTCCGCCACATATTCAACATCATCGTCTCAACCAGACTCATTTTATTAGTACCTTTTTTTTTTTCTTTTTTTTTTTTAACTAAATATAGGTATCTTGTTTTTCGACCATCCAACATTCCGACATACTTCCAACACAACACCGTCCGACATTCTCTCTCTCAAGAATTACACTATTGTCTTTTAGGAGCACTGGATTCTTGCACGGTAACACACATCATCAAAGGTTTTTAAATACGATGATTTAGATTAAGGAGCCATGGAGCTTGTCTGATTCTCACCATATATCGGGTTTCCTTTGTTACGAAACGGGCCCATCCGAGCCCACCCTTTTTATTATTTTAAATTTTTATTTTTCTTTATTTTTTTTATTTTATTTTACCTGGTTCTCTTACCATATCACCAATCTAAATCATTGATCCACAAGTGCGGACTGAAATTTGGGCTTGGCGATCCGAGTCACAAAAACCTTCTAAACATTACGCATCATAGTCAATTGGCATGTAAAAACCAAAGTGAGTGTTGCAGAGCTAATCATACACATAGCTATAGCATCTCTAAATTGGGGCTAATATTGCCACTTCATTTCCGCTAAATCTATTCCAAAACCGCCCGTCTTGATATCCACATGCTTAGCTACTCGCAATAATTTAGCGAAGTCCTATAAGGGCAAAGTTGTTGCAACTACAGATCAAATTACCAGACCTTCAAATATCTACTCTCGCTAATCACTATTTACATATTACAACGAAATTCTTGGACAAAACGATCTCAGATGAGATCACGACAGTGAAGATTCCTTAGCAGTAAGATCTCTTCTTTTCTCCCAAAACATGACCAAAGAAAACCCCATTAGTGACATGATCACAACCTGCAATTTAGGCACAAGGGAAAGCAACTCAGTTTCAGAGGCTTGTGTTTCCCATGAAAGATGTGCATTGATCATTTGCTTTTGGAAGGTATGTTATGATCCAATGTTTATGGACAACAGCCATAGTCTTATGGGGTCGGCATCGTCTCTCTCTCTCTCTCTCTCTTCAGCATCGCCTGTCTCTCTCTCTCCCTCTCTTGCATGAACTGTATGCATACCTTAGAATTTATTAGTGTAAATCATAGAGGTGAATGTCAAATTATCTTTCTTAGATAAATGCACCCCGAGATTCAAATCAAATCCCGAGTTATGATATGAAGTGTTCGCCTCAAAATTAATCAGTGTGAATTGGGGAACTTAGATGACTTACTGAGATAGCAGGAGGCACAGAAACAAGTGGATCTTGGAAGAACCTATTAGCCAATGCAAGAGCTAGAAGACTGCTTTGCATTCCTGTGAAAAATATATAAAGATCCGATCTATCAGATTGCCGACACTAACTTTCATTTAACTGGTAAAAACACATTAAGTAGGGAAAAGAACTAACCTGTTTCATATGATATTGTTCTTTGAAGAGCTTTCACATCAGGTGTCCCTCGGAAGACGAGCCCAGAAAGACCATAGCCAGCTATGAAGCTTAATGCATGAAATACAACAATGGGCAGGAGAATAGTGATCCCAAAGGGGGAGAGAATCGAGTCCATATTGATGGCCAATGGGGAACCAACACAACAAGCAGTCACAAGCACTGATAGTGGCGCAAGTAGAGGCCGGATTGTCGAACATATCGAAGGAGCAAATCTTGCAATACGTAAAGTAGTGGAGGCTGGTAAGTAGCTTGAAGGAAATTTGAACAAAATAGGAAAAAGAAACTGCAAAAAAATACAAATACACACACACGTGTATATATATACATACAAGTCTTAAAAATGCCTATAAGCGAAGTGCTATTATGTTTCGCCCCCATCACGGACATGCTATGTCTACGACGGTTTTGCCTAAAAACTGCCATGGACCTACGGGAGCTGTGGTGGTCCCCCCATATTTTTTGGTTCAAATTGACGTGGAAAAAATCCCGTCACAGACTTGCTATGTCCGTGACGAACCGCCACAAATATGCTAAATCCATGACGATCTTTAATCCACGTCGTCCGAAAAAATCGGACGGTGCCGGGCCTATGAGCGAAAATACTGCTCATTTTCGCCTATAGGGTTTTTGTAATCTCTTCCATATATATA